TGTCTGGTGCAGGGTGAGGGCTGTCTGGTGCAGGGTGAGGGCTGTCTGGTGCAGGGTGAGGGCTGTCTGGTGCAGGGTGAGGGCTGTCTGGTGCAGGGTGAGAGCTGTCTGATGCAGGGTGAGGGCTGTCTGGTGCAGGGTGAGGGCTGTCTGGTGCAGGGTGAGGGCTGTCTGGTGCAGGGTGAGGGCTGTCTGGTGCAGGGTGAAGGCTGTCTGGTGCAGGGTGAGGGCTGTCTGGTGCAGGGTGAGGGCTGTCTGGTGCAGGGTGAGAGCTGTCTGATGCAGGGTGAGGGCTGTCTGGTGCAGGGTGAGGGCTGTCTGGAGCAGGGTGAGGGCTGTCTGGTGCAGGGTGAGGGCTGTCTGGGTGCAGGGTGAGGGCTGTCTGGTGCAGGGTGAGGGCTGTCTGGTGCAGGGTAAGGGCTGTCTGGTGCAGGGTGAGGGCTGTCTGGTGCAGGGTGAAGGCTGTCTGGTGCAGGGTGAGGGCTGTCTGGGTGCAGGGTGAGGGCTGTCTGGGTGCAGGGTGAGGGCGGTCTGGTGCAGGGTGAGGGCTGTCTGGTGCATGGTGAGGGCTGTCTGGTGCAGGGTGAGGGCTGTCTGGTGCAGGGTGAAGGCTGTCTGGTGCAGGGTGAGGGCTGTCTGGTGCAGGGTGAGGGCTGTCTGGTGCAGGGTGAGGGCTGTCTGGTGCAGGGTGAAGGCTGTCTGGTGCAGGGTGAGGGCTGTCTGGGTGCAGGGTGAGGGCTGTCTGGGTGCAGGGTGAGGGCTGTCTGGTGCAGGGTGAGGGCTGTCTGGTGCATGGTGAGGGCTGTCTGGTGCAGGGTGAAGGCTGTCTGGTGCAGGGTGAAGGCTGTCTGGTGCAGGGTGAGGGCTGTCTGGTGCAGGGTGAGGGCTGTCTGGTGCAGGGTGAGAGCTGTCTGTTGCAGGGTGAGGGCTGTCTGGTGCAGGGTGAGGGCTGTCTGGTGCAGGGTGAAGGCTGTCTGGTGCAGGGTGAGGGCTGTCTGGTGCAGGGTGAGAGCTGTCTGGTGCAGGGTGAGGGCTGTCTGGTGCAGGGTGAGGGCTGTCTGGTGCAGGGTGAAGGCTGTCTGGTGCAGGGTGAGGGCTGTCTGGTGCAGGGTGAGAGCTGTCTGATGCAGGGTGAGGGCTGTCTGGTGCAGGGTGAGGGCTGTCTGGTGCAGGGTGAGGGCTGTCTGGTGCAGGGTGAGGGCTGTCTGGTGCAGGGTGAAGGCTGTCTGGTGCAGGGTGAGGGCTGTCTGGTGCAGGGTGAGGGCTGTCTGGTGCAGGGTGAGAGCTGTCTGATGCAGGGTGAGGGCTGTCTGGTGCAGGGTGAGGGCTGTCTGGTGCAGGGTGAAGGCTGTCTGGTGCAGGGTGAGGGCTGTCTGGTGCAGGGTGAGAGCTGTCTGGTGCAGGGTGAGGGCTGTCTGGGTGCAGGGTGAGGGCTGTCTGGTGCAGGGTGAGGGCTGTCTGGTGCAGGGTGAGGGCTGTCTGGTGCAGGGTGAGGGCTGTCTGGTGCAGGGTGAAGGCTGTCTGGTACAGGGTGAGAGCTGTCTGATGCAGGGTGAGGGCTGTCTGGTGCAGGGTGAGGGCTGTCTGGTGCAGGGTGAAGGCTGTCTGGTGCAGGGTGAGGGCTGTCTGGTGCAGGGTGAGAGCTGTCTGGTGCAGGGTGAGGGCTGTCTGGGGCAGGGTGAGGGCTGTCTGGTGCAGGGTGAGGGCTGTCTGGTGCAGGGTGAGAGCTGTCTGATGCAGGGTGAGGGCTGTCTGGTGCAGGGTGAGGGCTGTCTGGTGCAGGGTGAGGGCTGTCTGGTGCAGGGTGAAGGCTGTCTGGTGCAGGGTGAGGGCTGTCTGGTGCAGGGTGAGGGCTGTCTGGTGCAGGGTGAGAGCTGTCTGATGCAGGGTGAGGGCTGTCTGGTGCAGGGTGAGGGCTGTCTGGTGCAGGGTGAAGGCTGTCTGGTGCAGGGTGAGGGCTGTCTGGTGCAGGGTGAGAGCTGTCTGGTGCAGGGTGAGGGCTGTCTGGTGCAGGGTGAGGGCTGTCTGGTGCTGGGTGAAGGCTGTCTGGTGCAGGGTGAGGGCTGTCTGGTGCAGGGTGAGAGCTGTCTGATGCAGGGTGAGGGCTGTCTGGTGCACGGTGAGGGCTGTCTGGTGCAGGGTGAAGGCTGTCTGGTGCAGGGTGAGGGCTGTCTGGTGCAGGGTGAGAGCTGTCTGGTGCAGGGTGAGAGCTGTCTGGTGCAGGGTGAGGGCTGTCTGGTGCAGGGTGAAGGCTGTCTGGTGCAGGGTGAGGGCTGTCTGTTGCAGGGTGAGAGCTGTCTGATGCAGGGTGAGGGCTGTCTGGTGCAGGGTGAGGGCTGTCTGGTGCAGGGTGAGGGCTGTCTGGTGCAGGGTGAAGGCTGTCTGGTGCAGGGTGAGGGCTGTCTGGTGCAGGGTGAGGGCTGTCTGGTGAAGGGTGAGGGCTGTCTGGTGCAGGGTGAGGGCTGTCTGGTGCAGGGTGAAGGCTGTCTGGTGCAGGGTGAGGGCTGTCTGGTGCAGGGTGAAGGCTGTCTGGTGCAGGGTGAGGGCTGTCTGGTGCAGGGTGAGAGCTGTCTGATGCAGGGTGAGGGCTGTCTGGTGCAGGGTGAGAGCTGTCTGATGCAGGGTGAGGGCTGTCTGGTGCAGGGTGAGGGCTGTCTGGTGCAGGGTGAGGGCTGTCTGGTGCAGGGTGAGGGCTGTCTGGTGCAGGGTGAGGGCTGTCTGGTGCAGGGTGAGAGCTGTCTGGTGCAGGGTGAGGGCTGTCTGGTGCAGGGTGAGGGCTGTCTGTTGCAGGGTGAGGGCTGTCTGTTGCAGGGTGAGGGCTGTCTGGTGCAGGGTGAGGGCTGTCTGGTGTAGGGCGAGGGCTGTCTGGTGCAGGGTGAGAGCTGTCTGGTGCAGAGTGAGGGCTGTCGGGTGCAGGGTGAGAGCTGTCTGGTGCAGGGTGAGGGCTGTCTGGTGGAGGGTGAGGGCTGTCTGGTGCAGGGTGAGGGCTGTCTGGTGCAGGGTGAGGGCTGTCTGATGCAGGGTGAGGGCTGTCTGGTGCAGGGTGAGGGCTGCTGTCTGGTGCAGGGTGAGGGCTGTCTGGTGCAGGGTGAGGGCTGTCTGGTGCAGGGTGAGGGCTGTCACGTGCAGGGTGAGGGCTATCTGGTGCAGGGTGAGGGCTGTCTGGTTCAGGGTGAGGGCTGTCTGGTGCAGGGTGAGGGCTTTTCTGGGTGCAGGGTGAGGGCTGTCTGGTGCGGGGTGAGGGTTGTCTGGTGCAGGGTGAGGGCTGTCTGGTGCAGGGTGAGGGCTGTCTGGTGCAGGGTGAAGGCTGTCTGGTGCAGGGTGAGGGCTGTCTGGTGCAGGGTGAGGGCTGTCTGGTGCAGGGTGAAGGCTGTCTGGTGCAGGGTGAGGGCTGTCTGGTGCAGGGTGAAGGCTGTCTGGTGCAGGATGAGGGCTGTCTGGTGCAGGGTGAGAGCTGTCTGATGCAGGGTGAGGGCTGTCTGGTGCAGGGTGAGAGCTGTCTGATGCAGGGTGAGGGCTGTCTGGTGCAGGGTGAGGGCTGTCTGGTGCAGGGTGAGGGCTGTCTGATGCAGGGTGAGGGCTGTCTGGTGCAGGGTGAGGGCTGTCTGGTGCAGGGTGAGAGCTGTCTGGTGCAGGGTGAGGGCTGTCTGGTGCAGGGTGAGGGCTGTCTGATGCAGGGTGAGGGCTGCCTGATGCAGGGTGAGGGCTGTCTGGTGCAGGGTGAGGGCTGTCTGGTGTAGGGCGAGGGCTGTCTGGTGCAGGGTGAGAGCTGTCTGGTGCAGAGTGAGGGCTGTCTGGTGCAGGGTGAGAGCTGTCTGGTGCAGGGTGAGGGCTGTCTGGTGCAGGGTGAGGGCTGTCTGGTGCAAGGTGAGGGCTCTCTGGTGGAGGGTGAGGGCTGTCTGGTGCAGGGTGAGGGCTGTCTGATGCAGGGTGAGGGCTGTCTGGTGCAGGGTGAGGGCTGTCTGGTGCAGGGTGAGGGCTGTCTGGTGCAGGGTGAGGGCTGTCTGGTGCAGGGTGAGGGCTGTCACGTGCAGGGTGAGGGCTATCTGGTGCAGGGTGAGGGCTGTCTGGTGCAGGGTGAGGGCTGTCTGGTGCAGGGTGAGGGCTTTTCTGGGTGCAGGGTGAGGGCTGTCTGGTGCGGGGTGAGGGTTGTCTGGTGCAGGGTGAGGGCTGTCTGGTGCAGGGTGAGGGCTGTCTGGTGCAGGGTGAGGGCTGTCTGGTGCAGGGTGAGGGCTTTTCTGGGTGCAGAGTGAGGGCTGTCACGTGCAGGGTGAGGGCTGTCTGGTGCAGGGTGAGGGCTGTCTGGTGCAGGGTGAGGGCTGTCTGGTGCAGGACCCTAAACAGAAAACGGGACAGTACGTCACTCTCGCGAGCCGCTTCCATTTTCAATGACGACAATGTTTGGCCTTATGTAACGTATACGATCGAAATGCGACGTTCACTGTAAGAGGACAGGTTGTTCAAACACTGGATGTAAACTTGGAAGCGAAGCTTAGAAGTTTAGTCTCAAGTCGAGTTTCTTTTGAATTTTAAGGAGGTTGACAATAGAAAAGATTGTAAAATGTCACAGTGAATACATTTTGTTTACATTTAATACAGTATCTGATTTATGCTGTTTATTTTGTTCGTATATACATCCTACTGCTGAAGTTTTTTATGGATAATATTGATTACCATAACTGACTGTTTCATAATAAGTTCAAAAGATTTCATGTCCTGTTTATTATTTATATTAAACAACGAATATGATGACCAGATAACTGTAAGTTTATCGAGCATAGATATCCTATTGTACACCCCTGACTTAGACAAATAGCCTACTGACATGTTTTTTGTTCATCGAGGCTTATGATCAACATCTTGCCATCATAAGAGTAATATTGTTTAATATTGTATTTGGCCTGGAAAATAAGTGACTGCTATGTATAACTGTAACGATGGAGGCAGAGTAAGCTTGAGGTGGAGGTTGTGGTGGCGTGAAGAGTGATGATCTCCCTCAGGTACTCTCGGGTGTGGAAGGCAAAGTACCACCAACAGTGTCCCGACCACCGTCGAGCCATTAATTGAGGCGGCTACGGCGCCCAGCACCGTCGACCGTGCAGGTACGATGGCATAGTGTAAGAGAGAAGTCGTACATAACGTTCGCTACATTCTGTACTCAACGTTATGCATTAAGTAAGGTTAATATGCAACGCAATATTGTGATCAATAACAAATGCTGGCCGGATGTAACGTGTACAAAACGTGAAACGGACGTTTTAATAATGAAATAGGTGTTGTGAGAGTGAAATTGGTGCTGTGAGAATGGAATAAGTGTCATGATAGTGAAATGAGTGCTGTGCATGTTAAATTGTTGATGTGAGAGTGAAATGATTCCTTTGAGTATAATGAGAATTATATATCTGTACCTTCTCGTGTTTCTTAAGATGTAGCATCCATGCAGGAGCCGCATACCGGGTTTCCGTAAGTTGTGTCCAGTGCCCTAAATGCCCCTATACCCAGATTTCTGAAAGCTACCCTCTGCAGCATGGATTCTGCACTCAACGGTCGTCGGAAGCAGACGTGTCCGCTCTGCAACATATCACGATCTCGAGCGCTTTACTCTACAAGGTCAGCCTCACTCCCAGCCTGGTTTCTTATAACGGGAAGAGATGGACGGCCTTCTTCAGTAATGTGCAGTCTGTCTGGTACTGTTCCAAAGGTACCATGCTACACCAAGCCAAGTGACCTTTCCAGAGAGTGGTGGCTACCATTCGGGACGATCATGTTCGACACCACCGACCTCCTGCAAACCCTCTCCACCTGTACCAACGTCATGTCTATCCACTTTCGCCAGGAGGGTACGGAAGGTGTTCTTTTCTGCGTACAAAGAGGATATCATTGACCACTTCCCATCACCAAACATCATAAGTGCACTTGAAAAAGCGCATATCCGCCTGACTCTCCCTCGCCGGCACCGTGCTGAGAGATCTGTCTTCATCAAGAGACCCAGCAAGTGTATCCCTGAACGAGACCTCCAAAACTTCATTAATGCAATCGCAGAAGAGAACCCTCCCTTGATACCAGTCCATATCACCATCATTAGTCCCGCTGGCAGAAGACGATCATCTGCACCATCGCTGAGGCGGACATTGCTGCTACCCAAGAGCTTAATAAGTGCCTTGGAGTCAAGATTCCACCGGCCCAGATCAAGAAGGAACGCTATTATGATCACCAACAATGCTTCAAGTGCTGCAAGTATATACACTCCACCAAGAAATGTCCTGAACGCAAACCCAAGTGCAGCGTCTGTGCAGGAGGCCACCATCGCTCCATTTGCAAGGCTGATTTTCAACGTTGTCTGCTCTGCGATGGGAATCATGTTGATATTTCCCACCGTCGCCCCTCGTCGACAAAAGGAAATTAAGAAAATGGCTGATATGAGGACACCTTCAATTAACCACCAGCGACGACGCTTCAGCAAGCGCTCGCCCCAGCCTTCCCAGACCCATCAACCAATCGCTCTGCTGCGACTTGCTGAGAGGATTGCTGGAGCTGACAATAGTTTGTTCGTCACAACCCTCAACGCGTTGTATGTTACAAACGGCTTAACCACCTTCAGCGTTCCTGAGACTGTACTTCCTGCAGGGCAGACGCCTTCACCATTAACGGAAACGGCCTCGACAGCTGCACAGCCTGTAACACCTGCAGCGACCCCTCCACCTGACTCAAGACGCTCTCCAGCCTACAACGTTCCTGCCACTTCCATGAAGATTACTACCGACGTTCTACGAACTGTGGATATACGTCCTCCGAACCATCTACTTCAGCTGTTGCCACAGCAGCCACTCCGCAACCTTCTTCACAACGTGCTACTACTCAACCTCCAAGGAACACCACCTCAGCTATTGATTCAACTGATTCGTCAGATGAAGATATTGCAGTGGGAACACCATCTCCCTCCACAGCTGAAGGCTCACTACACACCTGATGACTTCCTACTGGACACCACCTCCAACGACAGCACAGCAATGTCAGCGAGACACAAGACGGCCACGACTTCCGCCATTCACAAGAAGTACGTCGATCCAAGTTCCCTGAAATCTTAAAGGAAGAAGAAGACAAAAAGAAGAGCACTGAACCCTGAAGACCAGCTATTGAAGATTAAAGTACGAAGACCAAACAAGAATGAAGAAATACTTGCAACACCTACCATCAACTGCCTTCAACTACCTAGCCTAACCACTTGGGCTGGTTGGTAGAGCAACGGTCTCGCTTCATGCAGGTCGGCGTTCAATCCGCGATCGTCCATGTGGCTGGTCACCATTCCCTTCCCCTGCGTCATTCCTAATACTTATCCTGACCCATTCCAAATGCTATATAGTCACAACGGCTTGGCGCTTTCCCCTGATAAATGCTTTCCTTTCGTGCCTTCAACTACCATCAACTGCTTGCGAGTCCAGTCCGGTGTGATCAACCATGATAATTCCACCCTACCACCAACCACAGCGTCAGCTGCAAGTCTTACCCACGGTGGCTGGGTCACCGATCTTTCCCTCCCTTCTTCGACTCGTCTCCAGTTCCTAGCTCAAGATTTCTGCATCCTCGCCCCTGCCATCCTCGCCCCTGCCATCCATCCCCTCCCATCCTCGCCCCTGCCATCCATCCCCTGCCATCCTCGCCCCTGCCATCCATCCCCTCCCATCCTCGCCCCTGCCATCCATCCCCTCCCATCCTCGCCCCTGCCATCCTCGCCCCTGCCATCCATCCCCTCCTTACCTGCTCTAGGGTCCTTGCAACTTAGAACTCTCTGCAGACAGGCTTGGTGTCCTACTTTCAGTCCCTCCCGTATCACTCATTACACGGGCCAGTCTCAGCACTGTTTTGTCCCTAAAGTGGAAAATATTTGATTCTGAGTCTGTGTCCGTATGTGTCGGTATATGCTCATGCATCCACTGTCCCATGTATACACGTGTGTGTCGGAAAAAGTTATAATGTTAGTTTGCCTGAGAAATAAGGCCAGGATTTATCAAGCATTTACGCGACCATTTACGAAACCTGTACATCTATCCTCAATTATGGCGGCTTAGTTTGTGTGAATGAAACACTTCACGAGCTTCAAAACTTCATAACCCAAGGTCATTATTGCTATGAACAATCTCGAAGAGCTTTCAAGCTCATAAACTCATTATAAATGTAAACAAAGCCACCATACCTGAATACAGATGTATAGGTTTCGTGAGTGGTTGAGTCAATTGTGTATGAATACTGGCTCTGTGAGATACGACATGTAAGGTGACGTTACCAGTATGTATATAAGCCTTCATGTAGATACAAGGAAGTAATGAAGGTAACTGTCAGGTCTTGAAGGTAACTGTCAGGTCTTGAAGGTAACTGTCAGGTCTTGAAGGTAACTGTCAGGTCTTGAAGGTAACTGTCAGGTCTTGAAGGTAACTGTCAGGTCTTGAAGGTAACTGTCAGGTCTTGAAGGTAACTGTCAGGTCTTGAAGGTAACTGTCAGGTCTTGAGGTAACTGTCAAGTCTTGAAGGTAACTGTCAGGTCTTGAATGTTATTACCAAAGTTATTGTGGTTCTCATTTTAAGTCAGTCATATGGGTTAAGATACATACATGGAGACGAACACTGGCGGAATGTTCCATTAAGAACAGCTGGATCCTTGTGACTGTATTTCATACCCAACTCATCTACCGGGCAGTGGAAGTCTTACAAAATAAGACTTAATAAACATTCTGGGAAAGGTTTTTAATAGACAAAGTTGAATTGTTGCAGCATGAAGTATGGTGTTGTTTAATTTAATTATATATATAACCACTTAAATAATAGCTATGAGTAGGACTAATATTTCTCTTGACCACTAGGGAGTAGTTCAGGAAGAAGGACGGGGAGCAGCGGCGCCGCGACAAGCTCCCTCTCCACCAATGAAGTGCGGCAGCTGACTGAGGAGTTACTTACCCTAGACACGGGGCTCAGCCAACCGTCTGTCAGTCGTCAGGGCAAGACCTCGGGTAGTTCTACTGGAGACTCGGCTACCAACCCGTAAGCTTCCCATTAACAAACAACAGTTTTGCTCAATAGCAATTAAACAATATTTGAGGAACATATATTACTTATTCAGATTTTGTTTAATACTTTTTCACACACACACACGCAGTTACCATCTCTGAACCCATGCTGGTGGTGTGTTACAAAGCTATTTCCCTCCAGGTGCTCTACGAGCCTTTTCCTCACGATCTTCTCCATCACCTTGCATGGTATACAAGTTAGGAAAACTGGCCAGTAGTTCAATGCCTCTTGCCTATCCCCCTTTTCGTATATTGGGGATTACATTAGCTGTCCTCCAGTTTTCTGGAAACTGGAGACCTAACGGAAAACTGGGAGACAGCTAATTTTCACACTATATTATGGTCCGACGCCTAGTGATGCGTTTCACAAGGCACTCCATACATTTTCAAACACGAATTTTCAATGCTTTAGCAAGAGCTTATATTCTCTTGGGGTGAGGTAGTACAGGACGTAATTGAGATGAACAAGTGGATGAAACATAATGGATAAATTTCATTATCCACATGCGAACAAATTTGTTCGCATTTGTGTTGCTCACGTGGCCCCACATAGTGAGGTGAATCGATGAAATAACTATGCCTAAGCTTACCACCAAATGCCGTCGGGATGTTGGGGATATAGGGTTGGTCAAGTGGTTAGGTACCAGGTACGCCAGTTGCATAGTGCTCCTGGCTGTCTGGGTTCGAGTCGCTTCTGGGGTGTGGAGTTTTCAGTTTTTCGACTATATATATATATATATATATATATATATATATATATATATATATATATATATATATATATATATATATATATATATATATACTTCTTCTGCATGTATACATCTTCTGAGAATGCACTTCTCAGCCTATTATGCAAAACGCCCGATTTGCCTAATAGGCAGAGTGATTTTCTTTATTTTCACTAAATTGTTTCCAATTAGTTTATTTGAATATTAATATTAAATTATATTAAGAACATAAATTATTAACTTAGTTATGTTAGTTTAGGTTAGGTTAAATTAAGATAGGGTAGGTTAGGTTCGGTAATATATCTACGTTAGTTTTAACTCAAATAAAAAGCAATTTACCCCAACATAGTGAAATTAATAGTTTTATCATTTCATAAGAAAAAAATTAGAAAAATTTATAAATTCAGGAAAACTTGGCTTATTAAGCAAATCGCGTCTTGCATATATATATATATATATATATATATATATATGTCGTACCTAGTAGCCAGAACTCACTTCTCAGCCTACTATGCGAGGCCCGATTTGCCTAATAAGCCAAGTTTTACTGAATTAATATATTTTCTCTAATTTTTTTCTTATGAAATGATAAAGCTACCCATTTCATTATGTATGAGGTCAATTTTTTTTTATTGGAGTTAAAATTAACGCAGATATATGACCGAACCTAACCAACCCTACCTAACCTAACCTAACCTATCTCTATAGGTTAGGTTAGGTTAGGTAGCCGAAAACGTTAGGTTAGGTTAGGTTAGGTAGGTTAGGTTGTCGAAAAAACATTAATTCATGAAAACTAGGCTTATTAGGCAAATCAGGCCTTGCATAGTAGGCTGAGAAGTGAGTTCTGGCTACTAGGTACGACATATATATATATATATATATATATATATATATATATATATATATATATATATATATATATATGTCGTACCTAGTAGCCAGAACTCACTTTTTGGCCTACTATTCAAGGCCCGATTTGCCTAATAAGCCAAGTTTTCCTGAATTAATATATTTTCTCTAATTTTTTTCTTATGAATTGATAAAGCTACCCATTTCATTATGTATGAGGTTAATTTTTTTTTACTGGAGTTAAAATTAACGTAGATATATGACCGAACCTAACCAACCCTACCTAACCTAACCTAACCTATCTTTATAGGTTAGGTTTGGTTAGGTAGCCGAAAAAGTTAGGTTAGGTTAGGTTAGGTAGGTTAGGTAGTCGAAAAGCAATTAATTCATGAAAACTTGGCTTATTAGGCAAATCGGGCCTTGCATAGTAGGCTCAGAAGTGAGTTCTGGCTACTAGGTACGACATATATATATATGTCGTACCTAGTAGCCAGAACGCACTTCTCAGCCTACTATGCAAGGCCCAATTTGCCTAATAAGCCAAGTTTTCATGAATTAATTGTTTTTCGACTACCTAACCTACCTAACCTAACCTAACCTAACTTTTTCGGCTACCTAACCTAACCTACCCTATAAAGATAGGTTAGGTTAGGTTAGGTAGGGTTGGTTAGGTTCGGTCATATATCTACGTTAATTTTAACTCCAATAATAAAAAATTGACCTCATACATAATGAAATGGGTAGCTTTATCATTTCATAAGAAAAAAATTAGAGAAAATATATTAATTCAGAAAAACTTGGCTTATTAGGCAAATCGGGCCTTGCATAGTAGGCTGAGAAGTGCGTTCTGGCTACTAGGTACGACATATATATATGTATATATATATGTCGTACCTAGTAGCCAGAACTCACTTCTCAGCCTACTATGCAAGGCCCGATTTGCATAATAAGCCAAGTTTTACTGAATTAATATATTTTCTCTAATTTTTTTCTTATGAAATGATAAAGCTACCCATTTCATTATGTATGAGGTCAATTTTTGTTTATTGGAGTTAAAATTAACGTAGATATATGACCGAACCTAACCAACCCTACCTAACCTAACCTAACCTATCTTTATAGGTTAGGTTAGGTTAGGTAGCCGAAAACGTTAGGTTAGGTTAGGTTAGGTAGGTTAGGTAGTCGAAAAAACATTAATTCATGAAAACTAGGCTTATTAGGCAAATCGGGCCTTGCATAGTAGGCTGAGAAGTGCGTTCTGGCTACTAGGTACGACATATATATATATATATATATATATATATATATATATATATATATATATATATATATATATATATATATATATATTCGTTTATTTCCTTTTAATACAGACTGATAGTAAATGTTCCGAGAGCAACATTGAGCAAGCCTACGGTGGAACTAATGCAGCGCCTCCTGGACAACTATGAGCCCCGAACTACGAGCACCGAGGTGCACACCAACGCAGAAATAACAGAGGAAAACAATTTTGTCGACGCTCTGATGCAAACGCCTCTCATGCAGAGACTCGAGACATTCCTCAAACAAAAGAGTAAGATTATGATCTCACATTATAAATTAAACGCCAGTGGCATGATTCAAATATCTTGATCTTGCGTATACAGAAAATGTGCCAGATCAATGAGCTGCAAGGTAAATAACAACAATAGGATTTCTATCATGTCATTGCTTTGCAGATCTGATCAGAAGTTCACTGCAGTCAACCCTGAAGGATATCTGGTTCACACTATACCGGCGGGGAGGGCGGAACATCGCGTCCTCTGGGTTCGAGCACGTGTTCGTTGGGGAGCTGAAGGACGGGAAGGTTGCAGGTTTTCACAACTGGCTGAACTTCAGGAAGGAGGAGCAGGAGGGTGACTTGGATTATAAGGGTTATATGAAATTTGTGGATCTTCATGGAAAAGTAAGGGGAATTTTCAGGTCAAGTTATGTGATATTACTAATATTAATATTGTCAAGTCAGGTATGATCCGTCAGGTGGGGCAATAGGTGTGATGTAAACTGGAAGATTTGCTTTGATGCTGTATATGGTAGGACATACTGAAGTGTAATCTGGCTGTTGATGAGAGTGCTTAATATGAAGTGCTTTGACTGTCTTATTTCCTATTGTCGCAGTATCTGTCAAATATATTGAACTTTTTATTTTTATTTTCAAAGAGACAAATGATGTCTGCCTTCACATTACTACTTGGTCATTGTCACCTCAAACGATCCCAATATTTCTAATAAAATTTTGATGGAGCTAATAAAAAGCTCCATCAAAAAAACATAATTTCTACTCATAGCCAGAGATATCCTGACCAGCAATTCCAGAATAGTCGAGACACAGCAACACAAAGAGATGGGACATTGCCGAAGTACTTCATGTCCAAAACTCATTTAATTATAAACAACGATCTTTCGTTTGATAGTATTTTATGCAACTCGTATTATGTCCCTTTCTAAAGAGTTTCTTGAGCCATACAAGGCTATAATTTGTTTACCCAGTATGAACTGTACATATTGCATTAATAATGCAGGTAAAAACGGTAAAGGAAAAGCCCAAGTCATATGATGTATTATTAACAAACTATCTTTATTACAATATTTACACATTTAATTTCGAACCTAATTCAAAGCTTTATCTACGCCTTAAGGGCTCTTTCTATGGATAAATATTCTATGCATCTCCAATAGGTTGTTTGGTGCTTTTTATTTAATTCTTATAAATATGAAAATACGTTTTAGATTTATTAAACCGTAATAATTAATGTGAATGTACTTAGGCTATATCGAGAGGTAAGGTTTTTAGTGTATATACACCGTTTTAATACTTAACTGGGTTAATGATTATATTATAATCGAAGACAGGAATCAAGGAAGGTTGGTCTCTAAATACTTTATAAAGTAACAGTTTTGAGCACAACACTTCAGAACTTGATATATTTGATCCTTTAGAATCACTACTAACCTATTATTATAATTATGCTTTCTAACCACCACCAGGGACAGATCGTCAAGTTACGCTTTGAATGGTTAAATGAAGCCAAGCCTGTAGGAACGGTATTCATCGGCACCACACCTGAACTGGAAATTGCTCTGTACACCTTGTGTTTCCTGGCCAAGCCTGACTCCAAGTGCCCCGTCCAGCTGGCAGGCAACAAGTTTAATATCCAGACCTGGACCTTCACCTCCGGGGGGAAAACTGTTATAGGAAGCGCCTATCCAGATATTTAGGTCCCGGCATGTGTCGGGTGGGGCTGATAATGCTTACATATACAACCCACTTATAATCTGCATGTGGGGCTTTTAAATTACAAACCTGTTCATTGTAATTGTAAAATACTTCCTTATTACTTAATTTTGTAATCAGATTACTCCTAATGATTATGTCTGGTGCGTCCTAAAGTCTGGTGCGTTCTAAAGTGTTTTAGACACTGATCAGTTCTCTCTCCCGCAGCCTGTGGACATTCCTCCAACAACTCCATATCTTAGTGGTAACGTTATATATTGTAGTATCCCCGGCTTCCTGTCTTAAGAAATCTGTTTCTATTGCTTGCCAATGTTCTATGCATCTCTAGTCCCGTCTTCTCGACCGTTCACAACGTCACTAAACTGATGTACTAAAATGCCCGAACCAAACCTTCCTTGGGTTTGGTTCAGGCAAACCTACCCGAGGACCCACGATTAGAAAATGATTAATTTTGAGAGTCGGTATAATTTTTAGTATATAATTGTTTGGCCTTAGCAGGAGTTATACGTCAAAGTGCGATGTACGATGTAGAATGAGGAGTTGTTTACTGTCATTTTAGTTTTTCATATTCACGTCCACTTTCAGATATAAATAACGGCTACAACATCCTCTGAAAAATAAAGAATTACAACTCAAAATCAAATTTCCTTTTCTTTATTATATACTGCATTGGTTACTATGATTTTATGGAGGTATCATCGGTAAAGATATCGTTTGGTTGTCATTTTTATTTGTTTCCTTTATTTCTTCAGTCAATAGCTGGAGAATGAATGTGTGAACTAACTTGACACTTAAATTTAATATGATTGAGAAAAAACAATATATATACACAAAAATCTTGATTTGGGAACTTTTTGAAGCCACCCCCAGAGCAGCCATAAAATACTGTCATGTTACGAAAATGAATTCACATAATGTATTAAAGAGTGTGTGCGTGGAGCAGAGAATAGTGGGTGTATATAACGGCCGGACCGTGGCCACTCCTCCCCGTTGACGGGAGACATCTCCCGTCACGCAGAGTGCAGTCGCACCTAAACAGATCTCCAGTATCATCTATTGATACTGGTAATGGCTCCAAAGGGCCACCACTTACGGGCTATTCATGCCCGTGCCACATTTTGGGTGGCTTAATCTTTATCAATCAATCAATCCTCCCCGTTATCATCCGTCAGTCTCCCGCCTCGGCAGATCAAAATAGATTGGAGTAGTTCTTCTTTAGGTTCTTCAATCCTTCCTACACTCGTAAGTTCAAGGAGAAATTAAATATTTTATCAGGTTCTTGTAATAATATTATATAACAAAAGTGTAGTAACTGTACACATGTGTGTATACGTTCAGTGTACATGTTAACAGGCATGTTTATGTACAGATCTGGCAGAGAATATCTATAGCAGGAATGTATTCAGTATGTTGAAAGCCTAGTGAAACCCGATCTCACTCCAAAACCTGTCCCTACAGGCGTATACGTATATATTGTTATGTGGTGTAATATAAAACGGTATTATTCTATATGCAAATTATGTGGAAGAGAAATAGTCCAATATGACAGACTTTTTAATTTGTGGCATATTTAAAATGACTCAGTGACAACTTAGATTTGATATTTCATTACTGATTAAATATTTAGAATAGGCAGCCTCTTGCTAACAGTTGATAGAAAATATGAAATTATGTAGCACTGAAACAATACAGTATAAATAAATACACAGAGGATAAGATGCCAGTTAGTCGTGCTTACTTAACCAAACGTCCACCTGGATGAAGTTATTGTCATGGAATAATGGTACATACGACTCCTTCAAATACATAGACATCATTATATTTCACTATGTCATATGTACAATAAATAAAAGTATAACAATTTTAAGTTCTAATATGATTGTGAGAGATATCTGTAATAAAATATAGTGTCTTTATCATATGATAGTGCCCTAAAGCCCTAGACTAGGCCACTCTCAACACCCTACTGAAGCTGTAAACTGTATGCATGTTGCTATTATGTGCAACAGATGGCGCTGTTTTTCAAAAACGAATGTTTTTACCTGTCACAGGGGTGGCATCTATATAGTAGGTATATAAAAAGACGCGCATATTCGAATGTAACGTTGTGTCAAAATTTCAAAGCAATCGGTGAAGAACTTTCGGAGATTACAGCGTATGTGCTCTTACGTCCAACAGATGGCGCTATTTAAAAAAAACATGTTTTTTCCTGTCACAGGTGAGGCATGTATATAGTAGATATATTAAAAGACGCGCCTATTCGAATGCAACGTTGTGTCAAAATTTCAAAGCAATCGGTAAAGAGGTTTCGAAGATTTCCCTCACATGAAAAACACATGAAAATCCCAGTTTTTCAGAAACAGCATGTTTTTTTACCGTCACAGACGTGACATCTATCTAGTATGTATATAAAAACCTGGTCGGATGCGAATGGAACATTGTGTGAAAATTTCAAAGCAATCGGTGAAGAACTTATATATATATATATATATATATATATATATATATATATATATATATATATATATATATATATATATATATATATATATATATATATATATATATATATATATATATATATATATATGTCGTACCTAATAGCCAGAACGCACTTCTCAGCCTACTATTCAAGGCCCGATTTGCCTAATAAGCCAAGTTTTCATGAATTAATTTTTTTTCGTCTAACTAACCTACCTAACCTAACCTAACCTAGCTTTTTTTGGCTACCTAACCTAACCTTACCTATAAATATAGGTTAGGTTAGGTTAGGTAGGGTTGGTTAGGTTCGGTCATATATCTACGTTAATTTTAACTCTAATAAAAAAAAATTGACCTCATACATAGAGAAAAGGGTTGCTTTATCATTTCATAAGTAAAAAAATTATAGTAAATATATTAATTCAGGAAAACTTGGCTTATTAGGCAAATCGGGCCTTGAATAGTAGGCTGAGAAGTGAGTTCTGGCTACTAGGTACGACATATATATATATATATATATATATATATATATATATATATATATATATATATATGTCGTACCTAGTAGCCAGAACGCACTTATCAGCCTACAATGCTAGGCCCGATTTGCCTAATAAGCCAAGTTTTCATGAATTAATATGTTTTCTCTAGTTTTTTTCTTACGAAATGATAAAGCTACCCATTTCATTATGTATGAGGTCAATTTTTTTTTAATGGAGTTAAAATTAACGTAGATATATGACCGAACCTAACCAACCCTACCTAACCTAACCTATATTCATAGGTTAGGTTCGGTTAGGTAGCAGAAAAAGTTAGGTTAGGTTAGGTTAGGTAGGTTAGGTAGTCGAAAAAACATTAATTCATGAAAACTTGGCTTATTAGGCAAATCGGGCCTTGAATAGTAGGCTGATAAGTACGTTCTGGCTATTAGGTACGACATATATATATATATATATATATATATATATATATATATATATATATATATATATATAGTACCTAGTAGCCAGAATGCACTTCTCGGCCTACTATGCAAGGCCCGATTTGCCTAATAAGCCAAGTTTTCATGAATTAATTATTTTTACGGCTACCTAACCTACCTAACCTAACCTAACCTAACTTTTTCGGCTACCTAACCTAACCTAACCTATAAAGATAGGTTAGGTTAGGTTAGGTAGGGTTGGTTAGGTTCGGTCATATATCTACGTTAATTTTAACTCCAATAAAAAAAGTTGACCTCATACATAATGAAATGGGTAGCTTTATCATTCCAAAAGAAAAAAATTAGGGAAAATATATTAATTCAGGAAAACTTGGCTTATTAGGCAAATCGGGCCTTGCATAGTGGGCCAAAAAGTGCGTTCTGGCTACTAGGTACGACATATATATATATATATATATATATATATATATATATATATATATATATATATATATATATATATATATATATATATATATATATATATATGCAATTGACGATCACAAAACACTGATCATTTTATGCGGAAAATCCACAGAGAAATATGAAATGAGGTGAACGTTTCGGCTTTGTTAAAGCCTTTGTCAACACCAGACTGACTGCAGTCTGGCGTTGACAAAGGCTTTAACAAAGCCGAAACGTTCACCTCATTTCATATTTCTCTGTGGATTTTCCGCATATATATATATATATATATATATATATATATATGTGTATATATATATATATAACTGAAAACTCCACACCCCAGAAGGATTCGAACCCAGACAGCCAGGAGCACTATGCACCATGGTGTACCTGGTTCCTTAACCACTCGTCCACCATGGCTGTTCAAAAGTCATTGGTAGGCGAGGCTATATCCCCAAGGACCCGACAGCACTTGGTGGTAAGCTTGGGCATAGACATTTCATCAAATCACCTCACTTTGTGGGGCAACATGAGCAACACAAATGCGAACAAGCATGAATGATCCCCAAGCCAATATGCAACTGAAAACTCCACACTCCAGAAGGATTCGAACCCAGACGGCCAGGAGCACTATGCACCATGGCGTACCTGGTTCTTTAACCACTCGACCACCGTGACTGTACAAAAGGCATTGGTAGCCGAGGCAGGGTTTAGCATTTGCTTGATGTATTGGAGGTTTAGTTCCGCAAAACCGCCTGCAGACCCATGTGGAAAAAATGCTGCGGTGTAGATCTCAGATTCACTAACAGTTATGGGTCTAGTCTTGCGTCACCTGCGGGTGGTGTAATGTTGTCGTCTCGTAGGGCTCTGGGTGGGGGTTGGCCTAACAAGTCAAATTTTCCTGAAATATTTTATTTTTCATATTTTTTTTCTTGTGGCATGATAAAGCTTTCAGTTACACAATATATGACTTGATTCTTTTTTTATTTTAGTTTGTTGTTGTTTAAGATTCGCTACTTGGAACAAAAAGTTCCAAGTAGCACGGGTTATGGTGAGCCCGTAGACTGTTTTTTTTTTATTTTAGTTAAAACTAAAAGAAATTTTATCAAACCTAACTTAACGTACGTAACCTAGCCTAACCTAACCTGACCTAGCCTATCCTAGCCTAACTTACGTCAGTAATTTATGTTCTTAATATACTAACGATAATGGGAATAAACTACTTTGGAAAGAAATATTTGAAAAGAACGAAAATCAATATGCTTATTAGGCAAATTGGTCCTTGCATATTAGGCTAGGTAGTGCATTTCTGGGTATTACATATTGACTAAGCATTTTAGGCAGTGCATCTCGTTGCGAATCTCTTAACTTTTCCTTCTTCCATACCTATGGTATCTAACCAAGCTAATATTCCAAGACTACTTAGTTTACATCTACCAATTATGATTACTATAATCTATCACAAAAAATACTTGTAGTGTCAAATACGTTTTGATATAGAAAGCGTTTAATTATATGCAATTATATATTAAATACAAATAAGTCATGAACAAATTCAATTATAGATTTTTGTTTTAACTGTGGTGATGTATTTGCGCAAATTACCTTGATAATAGTGCACAAAACAATATTTATTCCAAGAGGAAGCACTATTAGGTCACTAATTGAGACTGAACTCCATAATACTACTGATACATTTAACTTCGACTGTCTTTTCTTCCGAGCAGCCATAAAAATATTGTAATCCTTTCCTTGCTGGAACAGAGAAGCCACGGGTGTATATAAGGCAGAGTCTAGTCAGCTCCTGGCAGAAGTCGTCTGTCGTAGCACCGAGCCTCAGCACCACGAAAGAGATTGAAGTAGTTCCTCGGAAAGTTCTTCGACTCTTCCTTGAAACGTAAGTTACTTGGTTGCTGAAAACTTGAACATCACTTTTTTATACACAGATATCTGTAACAACCAGGAGTATTCTTTAAATATATTGGTTACAATTTTGTGTTTATTACTATTCATTTGCGAGATGTCTGAATTGTTGCAGAAACTATGTTGTGCTTACCAACTGAATACCAAAACAAGCTCAATAGTTTGGTATATTTTAGATGGAACGAGGGGTTAAAACTGAAATGTTTGTGCAAAGTACACAAGTATCTAGATGTGACATACTGCACCTCTTGCTTGGTCGAATTATTATTTAGGGAAAGAGTTGTAGTGAGAGTTGTCATCAACATTGTGTTGAGGACGCATTTTGTGGACATTGTAAAATATACAAAAACCAGCCACAACTCTTCTGTACTGGAGAGTCTGAATGTAGGATATTTGGTCGGTGGATTAAATTTAATGTTTACTACATTTGAGGCCCAATTTTACACTTTGTCTAATAGCTTTAGGTATGTCTTATGACAGGAAATTCAAGTTAGTGGAAATTACTCCACGAATTGTAGATTATTAGACACGCCTTTGCATTTAATTATTCTAAATGATTAGCGACCATCAGCAGGCATGCAAATTTCCAAGATCATTTAGATTCAATCTCTTTCATATGCTATGTAAGGAAGGGATTTTCATCACCCTTTATAACGATATATTAATCGATGCGATTTGCATCATGTTATTCATGGCTAGCTTTATCTTAACCATTATTTCAGTTTTTACTTGGACAATAGTAACTTTCCGACATTGTCCCCTGCGTATAATGGCTTTGATAGTTTTATTAATGTGATTTACACAATCTTTCATGTCTACTGTGAATTTAAGGGTGCAGAGAAATTTAAAAAATTAGACTCATGTTTCTGGAATGACGTTAAGAATGTGGTTGTAGTAATTGCTCCTCAGAAGAGGCCTGATCACACTACCCTGGGTTCACATGCCCTCTGACCTTCTCGGTAACTTAACTAAATTTCAAGGAGACAAAATCTCAATCAACGACTTATTCCGAAATCTTGCACACAATTCCTTTGTGCCATATCTTATATGCTACTATCCAGACCTTTACCAAGTCCCTATGTAACTCAATTTTTCATGCCATGATAAACAAATGAAAAGATATATATAATCTGAGAAAATACAGAAGGTATCATACTGAATATATAGATAAAGAAATATCTAAAATAAATAGTATTTACAGAAGGTTCATTATTCCCGTTGGTTTGCTGATGAAGGACACTTTTCAACTAGAAAATTATTTTAAGCAGTTCAACCACTCACAAAGACTTTAGAAGATGTATCGTGCTCCCCTACAATGTTAAATTGAAGAACTTGAATCTTTGCAAGGTAGCTTATAGATACACGAATATCATTAATAAATTAAAGGTCAGAACAAAGTAAAGAGAAAAGAGAATAGATACAAGATAACAAATTTAAGTTCATAACAAAGTAAAGAGGAAAATCAAATAAAGGTGAGTACTCTCTTCCCTGAAACCAATGTCCAGGAAAAGCAAATCAGCGAGACAGGTCAAAATTTAGCATAACACATGTATGACATAAGAGAGACATTATAGTAGGTAATGAACATAATCCTGGTGATGTTCATGATTGCCACACTGGACATTATATTGATTCTCATAAATTCAGGTCAATTTTAATGATAAATGATTGTTAAGAGATGAAATGTAGAATAAAGCATTATATCATTAATTTCAAATTTCAACAAGTCTCAAGGTCAATTTCATTTTAAGAAGATAACTTATCGAGTCAAGGGGGATACTAAGGGGAAACTTTTGTTTGTCAGGTGAAGTGACGTCTCTATCATTCAGGTGATTTTTAATGGTTCGGTAAAAATATATAGAAAATTTAGCAATAGTTCATATATTATATTTAATATATATATACATATATATATATATATATATATATATATATATATATATATATATATATATATATATATATATATATAAATACCCCGAAATTACCATCTCTTTTAAGGGTCTGAGTTTGGTGCAGTGGGTTAAAGCAGTTATGCCAGTTGCTGTGAGGCTTCTGTGCTGGCTAGTGTTCGAGTCTCCTGGTGGGAAAGTGTTCTAGATATATATATATATATATATATATATATATATATA